CCGAGAAGACGTTGTCTCAGAAGTGGTGGCAGCAGCGGGACTCTGGGCATGATCAGCCAACCATGGGCTGCTGGCTTTGCCTGACGGCCCCGCCCTTGGGCCCCTGAGACCTGCTTCCTAGGAGATGCGTGGGCACATGGCTTGGACTCTAGGCCTGGCCTCTAGGGCTGAGGCTGGTGTGCGCGCTCTGGTTTTTTGGCACCAGCACCAGTCTGTCCAGTCTGGCTGCATCCTGGCCAGCTGGGGTGGAGAGACGCTGGCTTGCAGCCTAAGGCTGGGGAGTAGGTGGCTGCTGCCTGTGACCTGCTGGGAGAATGGTGAGTCCAGCAGGTGCTGCCACTGCTTAGAGTGGGGGCTGGGGGCTGGCACCAGAATGCTGGCATGTGTTGATCATTCTGCAGAGGCTGCACCTCCAAGGAGGGCTCCTGGGGTTCCTGAACCGGAGGCTGGGGTCTGGGTCAGGAACCCTTTGGCCTTTTGTCAGCTTGTGGAGACCATGCCCAGATTCCCAGGCAGCTTGCTGGGTGCGCCTGGCCTGGTCTCAGCCTTTGCTGCTGGGTCCAGCTCCCCCCTCTCCAGGGAGCCATAAAGTGTGAGACCCCTCTGTAGGCACTAGCGGCCTCCCAGCATCCGGGAGCCAGTTTCAGAACAGTGTGTGTTTAGCTAGACTTGGGAAGTCCTGCCCTGCCTCTGCAGTTCCCGCCCTTGTCCATACAGAGGAGATGCTGGGAAGCGCCGCACACAGTAAGTGCTCAGGGAAGGGCCAGCCGTCCTGACCTGAGCTCGCGTGGCAGGGGCTGTGGGGTCCGTCCTGCCTGTCCCTTGGGTTAGGCCCCCCTCCACCCTGTTGGTCGCTGCCGCAGGTGCTGTAGCCCTGGTGCGTGTTGGGGATGCATGAGGAGCAGTGACAGACTTGGCGTCACCTCAGGGCCAGCCGCGTGGTGAACATGGACCGCTGGCCTGTGGGTGGCGAGCACAGTCCCTCAAGTCCTTCCTTGATTCTATCATGGTTGGCGGCATTAGTTTATGATTGATGATACCCTAATAAGTCAGCATTTAAAGTCTTGTTTCTTTCTGTTTGAATCACGAACCCAGTAAGATCCACATGCTGTGGTCTTAGGTTTCTGTCTTGAAGTGTAGTTCCCCGCTTCTTCCCTTCGCAGTTTTCCTCTGTTGAAGAAGCCCTGTCCCTCGTCCCGCAGATGTGGTTGTCTGCCTCCGCCCCCTCGGCGTTCGTGCCCTCCTTTGCGCTGTGTCCCTGTCAGCACCCCCAGGCCAGGTGCTGGGCTTCCTGGAGGACAAGTCCTGGCGGGTGTCTGTGTCTGTGACATTGGCCGCGTGGGTAGTCCACACCCTGCTCGTGGACCCCAGGGGCACACACCTGTGACTCCCCGACCTTCTGTGACACCCCGCCCCTGGAGCTGCCCTCGGGTCACCTCCCTGTCCTCTGCATGTTTACCTGGCTGTGTTTGGTTTCTAAGGGAAGGCGGGACGTGTGCTGGGCCCCCACCCATGCCATCTGGGTCCTGCAGCCGTCCTCTTCCTCAGCTGTGTTCTCGTACACAGGGCAGAGGGTGCGGCCACTGAGACGGAATGGCCTATGACACTGCTCAGGCACTGTCCCTGGGATGGCCCTCCAGGGAGCGAGGCCCTGTTCCTTCCCAGGCACCAGCGGTGCCTTCCTCCCCTGCCCACCCCTCAGCTCCAGCTACGAGGGTTTGTGGGGTCCCGGGTGAGGACTTGCCGGCTACGGTACTGCCCACCATGAGGACAGGCGTGCTCCTGCCCGTCCACCCTGGAATGTCCACCACCCACTGTGCCCGCTGTGACCTGACTGACTCCCTCCTCAAGCCTGTCGCAGCCTCGGAGGAGCCTCCTCGTGACGCCCACCTCTCTTTGTCCTGGGGTCTGTCACACACCCCCTGGACAAGTGTCTTGATCAGGACTGGTGTGTGGAGGGAAGGAAGGAGTGGGCCGTGTCGGGGTCTCTGGGGGTCACATGCCACGGCCCATAGCAGGTGTGTGAGGCTGGGTGCGGGGACAAGAGGCTAGAAGGCTTCCTGCCGCCTGCAGCACCCCCTCACTGCTGAGCAGGAGGGGGCACAGCCAGAGACCTCCCCCTTGGGACTCGTGATTTGGATAGGAAAGCCCTCCCCGTGGCCAACCTCTTAACCAAGACAGACCATGGCTACCTGGGATGAAGGGAAGATTTTCCAGTATGGTGTGGACCTGCCTTGATCCCACCCTGGGCCCAAGTAGAAGCCATGCTGCTTTGCGTTGCTTTGAGAGGCCCACTCACCTGTCTACCTCTCAGGGACTCACTGTCAAAATGCAGCCATGGCAGCATCCCTCCCGGGACGTGCACGTGCTGGCTAAGCTCCCGCCCTCCCACGTGGCCGTCTCCAGAGCTTATGGAGCTAGCGTGTCCGCAGCGTAGCCCACCCGCCCACCACTGGTAGTCGGGCCTGCCCCCGCCCGCTCTAAGTCCCACCAGGACCGAAAGCGTCCCCGCCAGGAGCTCAGCCTACCCAGGGAAGGGCGGACGGAAAGACCGCGGCGAGTGGGGGTCGTCCTGTCCACGCCTCCCCCTGAGCAAGTGGGCGGCACTTCTGAGCTCCCTGATTTCTGAGCACAGCGTTGTTCCCACATCTCTGCTGCTGGCCCCCCTCCCGTGTGTCACACAGGGGTAGACTGGGATGCATTCATGTGCAATAAAATTCACCCTTTTTTTAAACTTTTACTGTTATGTGGTGCTGTGGGTGGAACCCAGGATCTCACACATGCCAGGTGGCTGCACTGCCCCATCTCTTACCCTTTGAAAGTGTACAAATCCTGTGGTTTTTAAAATATATTTATAATGTAGTGAAGTTGTCAGTTTTTGATTCCAGGATATTTCCATCATCCCTAGAAACACCTGGTCCCCATGAGCAGCCACTTCCTATATCCCTCCCTGAGCCCCAGCACCCACGAATCCACTGTCTGCCTCCGTCAACATTGCCTGTGCGTGGGGCCACACGACGTGTGTCCTTCAGTGTTTGACTTCTGAGCACCGTGTCCCAGGGGCCATCCACTGTACTGCGTGTTGGTGCTGCGTCCCCTTTTAGGCCAAAGTAGTACTCCAGCAAGGAGTTGACTGTAGTTTGCTCCTCCTGCCTGCTGCCCTGGCCCCTAGGTTGTTTCTGTTTTGTGCCTGTTGGGAGTAAGCCTGCTGTGAACATGGCTGGCCAAGAGTCTCTCTGCACCTTTCCGAGTTCTCTTGACCTGGGTCATGTGGTGACTCCCTGTGTAGCACATGAAGGACCTGCCAGACAGTTTTCCAGAGTGGCTGCCCCGTGCTGCATCCCCCAGCAGTGTGCCAGAGTTCCAGTTTCTCACGCACGCATTCATGTGTCTGAGTTACTTTTCTCATTGTTGAGACAAAATATCCAACACCCAAAGTTAAAGGAGGAAGGGTTTATTTGGCTCGGTTTGTAGAGGTTTCAGTTCATAGCTGGCGCCAAGACTGGGTGGCATGGTACAGGGGCATCGCAGAGCAGGCAGGCAGAGGGCAGCAAGCAATAAACGACAGCCCTCTTTCTGTCCCTTATGTTCATCCCAGCTGCCCACCCTAGGGGTGGCACTCACACCCAGAGAACTATGACAGACTGATCAGTAGACCAAGTAACCACACAGCCTTAATCCCAGCATCGCACACTCTAGATCCAGCCACCTCTGAAAAAGCCCCACCTATGACATGAGGCTTTGGGGGACATCTGGACACAAGCCGCACACATGTGCATGTGTGTAGATTTTAGCCGTCCTCGTGGATATGAACTGAGTTTCCCTGTGCATTACGCTAATGATGAGTGATGCTGGACTAGGTTTTGTGTGCCTCCTGGTCACTTGTACACCTTTGGGAAAACGTGTTTAGGTCTTTCATTTGTTTTCTAATTGTGTTGTCTTTGTACTGCTGAGTTACAAAAATATTTTTTATGTATTACATATTATGAGATGAATGACTTAAAAATATGATCTCCCATTCTCTTGGCTGTCTTTTTACCCTTATAAAGACCTTGATTAGTGTCTTCACAAGTTTTATAAATTTTTTTTGGTGCCATGAATCCAAGTCAGGATCTCACACTTGCCAGGCAGGTGCTGTACCACTGAGCTATATCCCCAAGATTTAGCTCTGTCCCCAAGATTTATAATTTTGATGCAGTTCAATTATGTATTTTTTTTCTTCTGCCTGTGCCTTTGGCGTCTCATATAAGAAAATTTGCCTAATCCCCAGTGATGAGTCCATGGTTTTCTTTGGAGAGTTTCATAACTTTGGCTCTTACATTTAGGTCTCTGGTCGATTTTGAGTTATTTGCTGCATGTGGTGTGAGGTAGGGATCTCATTGCATTCTTTTGCATATGACTGTCCAGTTGTCCCAGCAGCATTTTTTTTTTTCTGGGTTTTTTTTTTTTTCTGATACCCGGAATCGAACTCACGACCTTGCGCTTGCCAGACAGGCTGCTGAGCTAAATCCCCAGCTCCCCCAGCAGCATTTGTTGAAGAAACTTCTCTGTCCTCATTGAATTCTCTGGCACCCTAGCCAAACACAAGCTGCTGTAAGTGCAGGCAGTCCTGGCCCTGGGAGCCTATGTCTCATGCTGTCTGAGCAGAAGCAGGGAGCCAAGGCTCCCTGGGGCTCTGCATTGCTCCCCAGGGCCATGTGTCTCAGAGCCTCAGTTTCCCCATTTGTCCATGACCCTGAGGGCTGAGTGGGGAAGCAGGTGCCAGGCTAGTGACAGTGGAGCTGTTGCCGGGGATTTTGGTGTCCAGGGAGTGGACTGCTTTGTACAGTTGGCTATACGTGATAGTTCATTTAGTTCGAGTGGGAGAAGGGAGAGAAGCAATGTGGGCCGGGAAGGAACACCAGGGGCAGTTGAGGGGTGCGGAGTGGGCAATCCCTGTCGTCCCTGCTGTCCCTGTCCCACCCATGCTGACACAGACGTCCCTGTTTCCTTTGTCCTAGGAGGAGCCGAGGAAGGTTTGCTTCACCTATGACCTGTTCCTGAACCTAGAGGGCAACCCGCCCGTGAACCACTTGCGTTGTGAGAAGCTCACCTTTAACAACCCCACCACGGAGTTCCGCTACAAGCTGCTCATGGCTGGCGGGGTGAGTGCGTCTGTGGGGTCCCCTCCCCGCTCCCCAGCAGCCGTGGGTAGTTGGCATCATCCACACAAGACTGCCATGTGCCCAGGCCAGAGCAGGACCGCTGCAGGCTGTGGCCACTGAGGAGCTCTTGTGGCCGGAGCACACTGCCTGCCACATCTGTCCTCAAGAGCCACCCAGCAAGATGCCCGCGTGCTGCTCTGAGTGGAGCTCTGGGCACTCGGTGCCCGCAAGTGGGCAGGTATAGAGGAGGCAGTGCAGGCCGAGGTCACGCAGCGTGTCTAGGTGCCAGGCGCCGGCCGTAGGGCTGGACCGGGGGCTAGGGGTGTGCGCGCGCGGTGTATGGTGCTGTGGGGAGGGGATGGTGTGGCTGCTGTGTGTGTTGGGGTGGGGCGCACGGTGGTGTGGAGTACGCGGCGTGTATGTACGGCGCACAGTGTGATTGTGTTGTGGGGAGTGTGTGGGGTGTGGGCGTGGAGTGTGTGTACGGTGCACAGTGAGCATTGTGGGGAGAGTGTGGGGAGTGTGTGGGGTGTGGAGGTGGTGGGGTTTGTGTGGAGTACATGTGTTCCTGTGCGCACGGATGAGGCCTGTGTGAGGGCAGTGTGTTCACAAGCTGTGTGTGCGGTGTGGGCATGAGGTGTGTGCGCACATGTGGGCCCCCCCCCAGGTACACGTGGGCAGTCCCTTCATCAGTCACGCGGGTGGGTCTTAGGAGCGACACCTCCTCCTGAGGGAGCCAGCACGGTCCTGGAGAAGGTCTGCAAGGACCTGAGTCCTGCGTGTCCTGCCGAAGATCCCGCCTGTGGCTCGTGGTTCTGCCGCCCAGGGTGCTTCTTGCTGCAGCCCTGCTCCCACCTCCTGTTTGCGGCCTGTCTGCCACGGCATTCACAAGGCATTTGTGGGCGTCCCCAGTGTCACATCTGTGTGGGAGCCGCTGGCATTCCTGGGCGGTGCCCCTGCTCTAGGCTGGAGGAAGCGAGGCCTCTAAGGGCATCATCTAAACACGTAAAACTGTGTGGGGAGGCCAGGTGGGTCAGCGATCGGGGCCTGGCCAGAGGTGTTTTCTGGGCTCTGTCCCTTGGCCACAGCTGCCCGAGAAGCCGGCTGGCTGTCGGGAACTCTCTGGCCACCCCGGGCTGACAGCAGAGCAGCACACTCCAGCTGAGGACCAGCCTGGTCCCTGAACGGCCGCTCTCAGCCGGCTCCCAGGACTGGGTAACTGGCCCCGGGCTGGCTGGCCCGGAGCCCCGGGCATCCCAGGGACAGCACTGTCTGCCCCGTCACACGGCACATGGTCCCGGCGCTGCCATCCGGCTGCTGCGCTGCAGGAGCCCGAGCAAGGAGCCGCTCTGTAAGTCCCAGAGAGCTGCGAGCTGTCCCTTCCACTGTGGCTGCTTGGAGTTGTGGAGCTCAGACCAGAGCAGGTTTCCTACTGTCCTAGCCAGGCAGAGCCAGCCCCGCAGCCCCGAAGCTCTGCGGCCCAGCAGCTGTTTCTTGTCCTCCGGCCCTGGGCCGAGGGCCTAGCACAGCACCTGCAGAGGAGCGGGAGGCCAGCCCGCTCTTGCTTCCCCTTGCTCTGAGCACGCTGTCGAGGACAGACGCTGTTCCTGAGGGGCCGCTTAGGTCAGGGGACTTGATGGGCAGGATGAGGTCATGTGGGGAGGAAGAGGCCAAGGGTGCAAGGATGTTGCTATCCTTGAGGTAGGAGGACCTCATGTGGCTGGGCTCCTTGTCATCCTTGGGGCTGGGGCAGGCGTGGCCTCCGTGGACACCTCAGCGTCTCAGTGTTGTGGGCAGACAGGTTCTGTTGGCCGCCCGCAGCCAGGACAGCGCCGGGCTTGTTGCCCCATGACCGTGACTATGCGATATCAGCGGCCTCAGATGAAAGGGTTGGCTTGGTGACAAAGCCCGGGTGCTCAGGGTTACCAGGGCTGTTGCTCTTTCCAGGTTGAGTCTTTTTTTTTCATGGTGCCTTTTTCTTTTTTGTCCTGTCTTGCTGCCATCTGGACGGTGTCTGAACAGCTGCCGTGCTGTGTGTTGCTCGCAGTGTGGGTGTCTGGAGCCCTCACCCCGAGTGTTCTCTCCCTACCAGGCACCTGTTGTGGCCGGGCAGGTGTTTCCGAGAAGGACCCAGCCCCTTCCTCATCCGTAGCCTTCCAGCAGAGCAGGAGCCGGCCTTTCGCCCTCGGGCAGGTGCCCCTCTGCACCTCTGAGGTGGCTTAGGCAGGGATGCCTGCGGGCAGCTCCCATCACAGCTGCTGGTCTTCTGCCGTGCTCTTGGTCTTGGTCCTGGTCCCATCTTGGCCTCAGCTGTATGCTCACGCTGTGTTCAAGTCAGCTTCAGCTGCCTGCAGGTGGAGGGAGGGAGGCCGTGCCCGTCACCACGAGGTCCACCAAGCCACATCCACGCAGGCCCTCGAAGCTACTTGCTGTGCCGCGCGGCTGCCCTTTGGGATCCAGCCGGCTCCTGCCTTCCCCGCTCTGCCCCCGGCTCTCTAAGCCTCCCGTGGAGCTCAGCCTGCGGTCTCGGCTGCCTTCTTCCGCTTCTCCGCCTACACATTGCTCAAGTTTGCTTGGCTCGGTGCTGTCTCTGCCGGGCCTGACCAGTCATGGAGGCCACCGGTGCCCCTGGGCCCAGCCATCCTGGGAGCCTGGGCTTTCTCCTCGCACTCCTCACTTGGCACCCGCTCCCCAACAGAGAAAATACCTGCGATTCTTTTGGGAAGGCGGAACTCAGGCTCCCCTTCTCCCTGCTTCAAGAAGCAAGCTCCATGGCCTTGGGCCACAGCTGCCCCTTGCCTGTTGATAACGTCTGTCTCTTCTTTATCACTAGGTCATGGTAATGCCCGAAGGAGCAGAAACGGTGTCCAGGCCCAGTCCCGACTACCCCATGTTACCCACAATTCCACTCTCTGCCTTCTCTGACCCCAAGAAGACCAAACCATCCCACGGCTCCAAGGTTAGTGAGGTGGAAGGCCCAGTCTCGGGCAGATGCACAGTGCCCAGCTGCAGTCCCAGCTGGCGCCCCTCTGCCGACCTGGCCCTGCCACCCGGCCCTGCTCCCTTGGCATCTTGCTTCTTGAGCCCTCTCTGCCCCCCCTTACCGCTCACGCTCTCTTCTCCAGGATCGCAAGGCATAGGGCATGTGATTGAGGGCTCCTCGCCCATTCCTCTTGAGGCTGGGCCCACCAGGCCTCCCTTCCTGCCGAACCCTTGCTGCCTCAGACACTCAGCCCTGAGGCCATGGCTGACGATGCTTTCTTCGTGGCCAGGGCTGCCCACCTTCTCCGTCCCCTGCTCTGCTGTTCCCGGCTTTGCCCTGGCAGCGGCTTGCTACACCTTGGAAGGGGCGGCATGTGGTACAGGAGGGGGAGCAGACCCTGCCGATGAGGGCACACACTAGAGTCCTATCTCCACCTTGCTGTGCAGGTGGCACTCGGCCTTTCTGAGGCCCCTCTGGCTGATGCCTGTAAGGCAGTCGCACAACTAGAATGCTCTGGGGACAGCACTGCGCCCAGGAGCCAGTGTCCCTCCCTCTGTGACCGCATGCTTGGTTCAGGGCTACGTGGCCCTCAGGGCAGCTGCTGGCCGTCCTGTGACTGACCCCGTCTGTCCTCTTTTCATCTCCGCGTTCTTGCTCTCTTCCTGTGGGGTGTCGTGAGCCTGGGCGCCCGGGCCACCTTAGTCTTCCTGTGAGCCTTGCTGAAGGGTCATAAGGCCTGGGGTCGTTCTGGCTCCTCCCGGAAGGCCAGCAGGTCTTGGAAATCCTCAGGTGCCTCAGTATCTTGGAGCCGATTATGGCCCGGGGAGGCCTTGTATTAAAGGACAAGCCAGTCCTTGTCGGGCATCTTGGCATCTTCTCTCCAGCCACGACAATTCTTTTGATGCCCATGCAAGGTAGGAAGGGAAACAACTGCTGTTTCTTCTGCCACGGTCACCTGACGCTCTGGAGGAAACATTCTCCCAGGTGGCGGGGCCCCTGACCACAGGGCTGCTTCTCCAGAGGCTTCGTGTTTTGCCAGTGCCTCCGTCCGGGAGCCACAGCCCAATGGTGTCTGCCGGGCCCAGAGGCTACGGGTGGCACCTCTGGCCCTGCTCTGCCTCTCAGGGGCCCTCCCCAGCATCGCTAGGCGTGACAGAGGAGGTGGCTGCGGGGGAGCCCTGCCGAGGTGCTTCTCTGGGGGTGGCTTTCCAGGAAGCCCCACGCTCACCACCACGGGTACCGTGTGTTCCCTGTGGGCCCCGGCCTATGAGCAGCCTCTCCTTGTTTGGGCCCTGACTCTTCTCTTCTATGTTGGTCGTGCGCTGCCGCGGCCTGGGAAGCCCAAGTGGCAGTCACGTGCTCGGGAGAGTGGCGTCCCATACAAGTCTGTGGGCCAGGCCACTGAGCAGAGTGCCTGTCGCAGTGTGCATGGGTCGGCCTCTGGTGGATCTGCTGAGCTGAGATAGCGGCAGGGAGAGGGGGCCCCGCAGGTGCCGTGGGACAGAGAGCCCGGCCTTGGGCCTGCTCACCTGCAGCTGCTGGACTCCCCTGTTCCCTGTCAGCACCAGGTACCCAGTCTGCTTGGCTTTTCCTACAGCTTCGCTCCTAACTATTTCGTGGCTGTGGGCGGCTTTGAGAATAGGACTCACGACCCTCACTTGTGTGTTCATTGTGAGTTTCAGAAAACGGAGGGAGCCTCACCCACCCCTGGGAAGGCTCCTCCAGGCCGGTGCTCGTGGCACCCCGGGAAGTGCTGTGAGGCCACTGGGATGCCCTTGGGGTTTGCTGTCCATCTGTCCCTTATGGCTGTGACATGGGGGTACACGTGGCCTCCTCTGCTTCTTGCCTCCCTCACAGCTCACAGGCAGTGGAGCTACTTTTCAAGTGGACCCCAAGGGGTCACTCTTAGGCTCAGTGCTGTGCCAGGCCAGCTGTGGTGGCTCCGAACATGCACTGCCGTGCGCATCTGCCCGTCTCCTTAGCCCTGCCGTGGGTTGTGAGTTACACGCTGGTGGTAAACTGCGCAGATCAGAGGTATGGAGGCAGCTGTGTGGGTCCTGCAGGTGGCTCTGAGAGCAGGTGTCAGAGGCCCCTCCTGCTGCCGGCTGTTGATCTGCCCGTCCTGTCCACTCAGTGGGTCGCCTCTGTCCTCTGTGACGCTCCTCGCTGGCTCACGGGAGCCCACCAAGTGCCGTTGGTCTCTGCACCTTTGGAGCTGTGAGGCTGCTGGGCAGGTGCTGACAGCCCTGGGCAGTCCCTAGGTGTGCAGGGTGACACCAGGAAGACAGGGCTGAGGGGACAGAGCTGGGGTCGGGCGGACACACACACCTGGGTCTACCAGGCCGCATCATCAGCCCCGGAGGTAGGTGTTCTCTTGCCCCTTGGGTCAGAAAAACTAGTGGTGGAGGTAGTGGAGCCAGTGTCACAGGCCTAGCTGATGTGCCCCAGGCAGGCTCCACCCTCGGAGTGACCAGGAACAGCCTCTGTTCTCAAGGCCTGGCAGCTGTGTGCCCTGTGCGGTGCCCGCAACCCCGCAGGCGCTCGGTGAACACCCACCGCCTGGATCTGGGGAGCAGCCGGGCAGCGGGCCCCGGGACACCTGCAGGAGAAGGGCTGAGAGGGCTGGGGAAGGGGCCTCCAGGGCCGGGCAGGCCTCCCGCCTCCTGGCTGTGGGCAGCAGCAGGTGTGGGCGCAGTGGCCACAGGGCCCTTCTTGTGTCTGACACACTATGCTCCTGCATCTCAGGATCTTCGCCTGCAGTTGCTGGGACCTGCTGCCCTGCTTGTAGTGTGACTGCTCTCGTAGTGTGACCCACCTCCTGCCGTGCTTCTTACTTGCGGATGATCTCCTCTAGCTGAGTCTCTTTCAGGTGGATCTCGCTTGGTTGAGGCCAAAGGGTGGCGGAGCCGGGCAGGCGCGATGGCGGCTGACTGTGTCTCCCCCTGCTCCCCCTGCTCTTGGCATCTGTTGCAGGACGCCAATAAGGAGAGCAGCAAGGCCTCTAAGCCGCACAAGGTGACCAAGGAGCACCGTGAGCGGCCCCGCAAGGACTCGGAGAGCAAGAGCTCCTCCAAGGAGCTGGAGCGTGAGCAGGCCAAGAGCTCCAAGGACGCCGTGCGCAAGCTGGGAGAGGGCCGGCTGCCCAAGGAGGAGAAGGCCCCGCCCCCCAAGGCTGCGTTCAAGGAGCCCAAGATGGCCCTGAAGGAGACCAAGCTGGAGGGCATGTCCCCCAAGGGGGCGCCCCAGCCCTCGGCCCTGCCCAAGGCTTCCAGCAAGCGGCCAGCCCCCGCGGACTCGCCAAAGCCCAGCGCCAAAAAGCAGAAGAAGAGCAGCTCGAAGGGGTCCCGGAGCGCTCCCAGCACCTCACCCCGCACCTCGTCTTCCTCCTTCCCGGACAAGAAGCCGGCCAAGGACAAAAGTGGCCCTCGCATGGAGAAGGTGAAGGCCGAGAGCGAATCCAGGGAGGCCCGCAAGGCCCTGGAGGTAGAAGGCTCCAACTCAGAGGATGAGGCCTCCTTCAAATCCGAGGTGAGCGCACCGCCTCTCCTTATCCCCAACCAGCAGACTAGGGGGCGGGGGGCCGAGGTGCAGGATGTGGGCAGGGCACGGAGCCTAGGGCTGAGGCCCGGTCTGTGGCCGCTCCCACTGATTGTCGCTCTGACCAAGTTATCGTGCTTCACTGAGCCTCAGTTTCCCCTTCTGGCAGGGTGATTGGGCCTGTCACATGAGAATGGCCCTAGCATGGACCGTAGTTAATGGCCATGGTGGCGTCTGCCAGTGGCTCTGGCAGGCTTCACTGGCGCCTGCCTTGGTCCAGAGCTCTGGGCCTGTGCTGCCGCCTCCCTGCATGCGCTGGGCCCAGGTGGCAGCTTCCGGGGCCAGGCAGGTAAACGTGTCTCATGGTAGCGTCCTTCCCAACCACTGCATGGTTGGCCCAGTAAGGCATTCACATTCTCGGCCCTGCGAGCTTGTGTCCTACTCTTCCTGTTCAGCCGTTTAATGGTGGTAATTGGGCCACTTGCGGTTCCTGCCCAGGTGGGTCGGAGGCACTGTCACCCTCTCCCACCCACCTGCAGCAGCATGTCCGCAGCTCTTGGGAGACTGTGGTCAGGGGTGACTTGAGCCACACAGCTACGGCCAGGTCCTCGGCCTCCAAGCTGGACCTCCTTTGAGGCTTCTGATGGTGGCACTGTCTGCGCGCTCTGGTAGCACCTGGCATTCAGAGAAGCAGCGCTCACATGAAAGAACACAAAGGCTGGCCGTGGCCTCCCTTCCCCTCCTGAGACAGGACTCTGCCACCAGGGCCACCTTGTGCCCCTCCACTTGGAAGTAGTTCTCAGAGGTGAAGCTTTCTGGTTGTGTAGCTTCCTAGGTTTCTGGCTGCGCTGCTTTCCCGAGCACAGGGCTTACGGGGCGGCACAGGGTTTCCGTGGAGGTGGCAGCACTTGCTGGAGGTGACCGTTTGCCTGTAGGTGACAGCACATCCTCCTGGGTGCACACACAAGGCAGATGGGGCCCAGCCCAGAGCGTCTCGTAGCCAGGGACCTCGACGTGGTGTGGCCCGCCGGCGCTCCTTGGCTGTGTCTCTGGGCGGCTGCCTGTCCCCTCTTGCCTGCACCGGAGTCTTGGGTGGGGACAGCTGTCGGTGGGCTCTGGTCTCCTGACTAGGAGTCACCAGGCAAAGATTCTACACCTGCGGCCAGCGCACATCACGTTGGCAGGTGGTGGAGGCTGGCGCTGCTTAGGCCCTGCCCTGCCCGCTTCACTTTCAGTTCTGCGCTGATATCAGAGAACACTTGTGTTGTGTAGGGGCTTCTCTCTGCCTGGGACACCGTGACTCTGAATGGGGCTAGACTCCATCCTTGTGGCCCTGAGACGCATTGTTCCCGGAAGCCTGGGCTTCCCCGGGGCACCCTGTGCCCTGCCTGGCTTCCCAGTGGTCTGAGCCCCAGGCCAGCAACAGCAAGGCCAGACAGTCTCTGATTTTTCCTGACAAGGGGCCCCAGCCAGGCACGGACGCCTGCAGCCAAAGATGCGGTACTGTTTCCTGACCCTTGGGGGACCCTTGCCTGGGGCCACACTGCTGGAAAGCTGGGAGTTCCCCGGACCAAACTCTACCACCTCCTCATCTGCTAGCGCCCAGCCATGCACAAAGTGGCCACAGGCAGCCTCCCGTCCACATCTTGGGCCCAGCTCCCCAGTGCCTCTGGCGGCTGCTTGTGGGTCTCCTTGGTCCTTGGGGTTCCTGAGCCAGCAGATCCCAACTGCTCAAGGGCCAATTGTGGACGAGGAGTGCTTGCTCCCACAGCTGCTGACCGTAGCACTGCCTCCAGGCCTTTGGGGCTGGGACCGTCTCCTGGCTCTGTCCCCCTTCTCCTTGCATGTGCGCAGGGAAGGGCAAGGGGGGCTGCAGAGCTCGTGTGGCGTCACCCTCTGCCAAGGGCAGCGTCCTCGCCGCCCCGTGCAGCTCACAGCCAGCCCCTCCCCCCAGTGAGCGCATGCGCAGGAGCAGAGGGGTCTGGGAGAGAGCAGTGCTGTGCCCATGGGCAGCTCCTTCACAGAAGGGGAAACCGAGGTTTAAACTGGGGACTTGTTGCAGTGTTCTGAAGCTAACTGAGAAAGCTAAGGTTACAGTGGGGGCCCCGGGGGCAGCCCGCTCTTACTCATCACGTTCCTCACCCTCACCCCCGAATGTGTATCCAGAGTTATTCTCAAGAGCAGCGTGAGGCGGGCTGGGGATGTAGCTCAGCAGGGCAGTGCTTGCCAGGCAATCGCAAGATCCTGAGTTTGATTCCCAGTACAAAAAAGGTGGAGGTGCGGCCTAAAGAGCTGGACTGTTTGTCCAGGCTCAGCTCGTGTGCTGGGGGACCTGGCCACGCTGCGTGCTGCCTCCTGAGTGGCCTCGGTCAAAGGGCACAGGGTCCACGGGAAGCCTGGTGGCTGCATCTTCAGGGCAGGGTCCCCAGGGAGCTCTGTGTGCCACTGGGAAAGTGGGCAGGAGCGGTTTTGACTGGGCGCACTTGGAGGCTGCGGCCTGGTCACGCCTGAGGCCTCCCCTGCTTTTCTCTCCAGCAGGCAGCTCCAGTGCTTTCTGCCCAGCCTGGGAGACTGACTGACTGGCGTCTGTCCATCTCCCTCTGCTCTCAACAGCAGGAAGGGGCTAAAGCACTTAGTTCCCTGGACAGCCCCAAGTGGAAGGGCTTGCTAGGTGCCCGGCCCACACGGGCTGCCCATTGTGGCCCAGCCTCACCATGGAGCTGGGCCTGAGGTGGGCCCCTGCTCTACGCACTGAGCCACATGTCCACGGGGCTAAGACGCAGCCACAGGGGCACAGGCACACACCCATGTGCTCGCTTACCGCCCCCATAGTTCCCTGGGCATCTTACCCAGTGTGCGCATCGCTTTTGCTTTGACTTTATTGCCCCTGGTGACTCAGTCGGGTGCAGAGCTGCAGGAGGAGGACAGCCAAGCCCCAGGTGTCTGTCCACCACGGGGATACGCCCTTCTTCAGCAACTGGGCAACTGGCGGCAACACCCAGGTGGGCCACAGGGCAGCGTGGGGATCAGAATGAGAAGATGGGCTCCTCGCCAGGTTTCCCATTCCCACCTGTGACCGCAGCCGGGCCCTGCTCCCTGGAGGCTGGCAGGGCCCGCAGCCCGTCACTGCGCCGAGCTCAGGCCCCCCATGGGAAGGGCACCCTGGTGCAAGCCCGAGGTTCCCTGGCACTGAGTGATGTGGCACCAGCTCCTTGTGGGGTCTTGAAAAAGCTGACACGTCACCTCGGGGATGCCGTCGGGGAGGGTGGTCGGCATCCCACTGTCTGAGGGCGTGTACCCCGCCCTCCTCTCCTCTGCCCTGAGAGATGACTGTATTTTCCCTTCCTGTCCCTGCCACCGCTGTCCGGGTGCAGTCCGCACAGTCAAGCCCATCCAACTCGAGCTCCAGCTCTGACTCCAGCTCCGACTCAGATTTTGAGCCTTCCCAGAACCACAGCCAAGGTGGGTGAGCAGGCAGAGGCCGAGGCTGGCAGGGGAGAGGCGGCACGGTGATTGGGGATTTGAGTGCTCGTACCTGCGCTCTCACGAGAGGGATCCACTGGATCCGCGCGGGGGACTTGGTGGTGGCTGGCCGGAGGCTGTGGAGGCTGAGCCAGGGACCCTCACCTGGCTGTGTGCAGGCCCTTGGGACAGGGTGCTCAGCGTCCTGGGCCCCGCAGACCTACGCAAGTCCCTGGCGGCTGGAGAGCTGGTGCTGCAAAGCAGAACAGAAACAGGGCCAGACCTTTCCCCAGGTCTAGGCTGAGACCCTTCCCTGCTACAGCCCAGGTGTCTGCCCCCAAGAGACGGCACTGGCCCCAGCAGGCCGGGCAGCGTGCCTCCCCGGCAAGGCTCATCGGCCCCTGCCCGGCCACCCCAGCCTGTCCTGCCCACCCACCGCATCTTGTCTGAGGTGCAGGCTCTCCGTAGCCTGGGGCTCCGGATATCCAGTGGCCACCCGGTGGCCACCAGGTGGCCCCGAGGCCTGGGCCACCCCTCTGCATGTTGTCTTGCTGCAAGCTGCCCGTGGGGCTTTTTGTGGGAGGGCACAAGCCAGCCCTGGAGTGGGGGCCCTGGGGACTAGGCAACCTGCAGAACACAGCACCCTCAGACCCAAAGCAGGTCTTCTGGTGGGTTGGAAGACCTGTTTCCAACCCTCCCCCCACCCCCATGGCTAGAGTCCTTCTAGTGGTGCAGGGGAGGGAGTGTACGCCTGGCCTGGAGTCCATGCGTGGGCTGGGGGATGGGGTCCTTGACGCCCACACGCTCTGTGCTCCTATCATTGGGTTAGGGAGGGGACCTACTGAAGGGGAGTCATGTGACCAAGGTAATTGAGGGCTTTGTGTCCCTCTGTTGCCTTGGCAACAGGAATATAAACCAAGATGCCGTCTGTAGGGGACTGGAACTGGGTGCCTCTGGAGAAAGGGGAGGACGGTAGGCCGGGAGCAGCGGTTGGGGTTCCTGAGGGGCTGGGCAGGCCCGAGTAGGGGTGACGGCTGGGCGGTGGGCCTGCGGCCCTGGCTCCTGTGCCCTCTCCGGCGGAGCCTGGCTTGGCCTGGGTGCTCAGGAGCCTCTGATCTCTGATCTGGCTTCAGTGATGGAGGGTCCCGGTGGTCCCGCTGCAGGCCAGGGGCCTGGGGTCTGTGAAGAGGGCCAGGAAGGTAAGGGAATTAGGGGCCTTTCTCAGGGATTGGCAGGGGGGACATGGGCACGCACTTGTGTGTCATTTGGGGTCATCAGTGTTGAGAAGTTGCTGTGGGCGTAGGGGAGGCACCCCAGAGGCCCATCGGAGCCCTGCTGTCCCCACCCCCCAGGGCCCCTGCGCTCCATGGTGGAGGACCTGCAGTCCGAGGAGTCGGATGAGGACGACTCTTCATCGGGTGAGGAGGCCACTGTCAAGGTGAACCCAGGCCGGGATTCCAGGTGACTGGGCCAGCGGGAGGTAGCAGGCACTGGTGGTGACCAGGGTGACCGGGGCCTACTGCGATGGGGAGGCCTAGAGGATGGCCTGGGGCCGAGGGTCCCCACGGAGGGCCCAGTTGGGGTCAGGTCCCCAGTGTGAGGGAACACCTGAGCCCACTGGATGTTGGGGCTCCAGATGACCCCATGCCACCTAGACACTGCATTGGCCGGCTGGCCAAAGTCTTCCATCGCAGAGGCCCCGAGGAGGCACCCCTCGGTGTGGCAGAAGGGGTGGTTGCCACGGGGAGGACCTGTGCCCTCTTGAGCGGGGCAGTGCTTGAGCCCTGGGGAGTCCTGTGCCCAGGCCCCCAGCCCCCAGCCCTTGCCTACGCATTTGTGCCGCAGATACCCTGGTGTGGGTAGAAGGGCTGTGTGCCCTTTGGGTGCCCCAGGTCCGTGGAGAGCTCCCAGCTGTATGCAGGCACTGGGTTTTTGGTCTCCTGAAGACCCTGGCCTCGGCGCAAATGAGAGATTCTGGGCTTGTCCAGGGCGGGAGTGACGGCTAGGCGCAGTAGAGGGCTGGGTCAGGGCCAGAGTCCCCTCTCCAAGAGCCTGAGGCCTCCGGTCTCCAGGGCTTCTGTGAGTTGGCACCTACATCCGTCCACGCCACAAGCCACAGGAGGTTTAACAGACTCTTGCAGCCATTCTATTACTGGTTTTTAAAAAACCAACAAAAACAACGCCATCCTGAAAGCCAAGGTCTGACAGTCTTCGCTCAGGTCTGCTGTGTGCCAAGGCTCCCAACCCGGTTCCATGCAGGCTTCTGCCGCGGGCACAGTGGGTTCCTACGGGGCAGTGTGGAGTCTGCTGGTACTGAGAGATTGGCAGGCACCGTCCTGATGTATGGGCAGGCAGCAGTGTGGAGACCTGACCAAAGAGGCTCCTGGCATCCCCTCCTTGCGGGGCCCTGGCTGGGAGCTCACTGGTGGCAGGGCTGAGCGGCTGCTGTCCCTGCACCTTCTGGGGAGGGGCCTCGGGTGCGGGGTCACAGCGGGTGCTGGCGAGGCCCACCTGCTGGAAGCAGCAAGAGGCAGCATGAGGAGCAAGCAGGAGGCTGTCGTGTTGCCCTGGCAACCAGAGTCTGACCTGGAGTTGGGTCCTCGGGCCAGAGCAGGGCTCCTGGGAAGAGCCTGGCGCTCGCTGTGGGAAGGGTTGAATGGAGGGCACAAGCTGCACCTGGTTAGGGAGCAGGACAGGAGCCAAGAGGTGGTCACACTGCCCAGTCCCAGCCTGCAGAGGGTCCCCTCGTGTCCTGGCACTTCCTTTAGTAGCCTGGTGAAGGGGACAGCCCCTTCCCAGGCAGAGAGAGGGAAGTGTATTAAACACGTCAGGTAGCAGTTGTTGGGGCCTTTACTGGCTCGAACTCAGAGTGACAAAACAGGAACTGGACGCAGAGACTGCCTAGGCCGTTGTGCACGCCCGCGGGGGTGGGCGCACCCCGCAGAGGGGCTGGGGTACCGCTCAGTGGTGAGCACCTGCCTGGGTGAGGCCAGGGTCAAGTGCTCAGGGCACCGCTGGGCAGCACGTGTCACCCAGACTGAGGAGAAGCCACAGGGTTCGCTGCTGATCAGCACCGCCCTGCCATGGCCAGAGTGATCCTGTGTGGCTGCAGATCAGAGCTCAGTCCCCGCGCGCAGCCTCCTCTTACGGAGGAGGAAACAGGCGGAGGTTGAGACCTGCCCCCAGGCCGCACACCTTCGCTGGATGCTGCATAGCACCCCAGGGCCGGCATGGCAACGCTAGGGCTGGGGGCCTCCCGCAGGCCGCAAACCACCTCGAAGGGCGGCACCGGCGGGGGGAGCGCCCTCGGGCTCGGTGCTCCCAGGGCCTGGCCTGATGCAGCTCCCTGTGGGGTCCAGGTTGAGCTTCAGCGACAGCGAGAGCGACAACAGCGGTGACTCCTGCCTGCCTGGCCGCGAGCCCCCACCTCCGCAGAAGCCGCCCCCACCCAACAGCAAGGTGAGGGCGCCCAGGGAGGCTGGGCGTGGTGGGGGGTGGACAGGGCTGGGGGTGGACAGAGCGAGGGCTCAGCAGACTCTTGGGTCTCCCGCAGGCATCGGGCCGGAGGAGCCCTGAGCCCTGCAGCAAGCCTGAAAAGATCCTCAAGAAGGGAGCCTACGACAAGGTGACCGCGGGCCCGCGGGCAGGGGTGGGCTGGCCCCCCTGCAGCGGCCGCACTGGCTGGGGAGGGCTGGCCAGGGGGGGGGGCCTGCTGGGCTGAGGCTCGTCTGCCCCCTCCCAGGCCTACACAGACGAGCTGGTGGAGCTGCACCGGCGGCTGATGGCGCTGAGGGAGCGCAACGTGCTGCAGCAGGTAGGCCGCCGGAGCCCTCCTCCCGCAACTCCCTCTGCCTCCAGGCACTGAGGCCCCGCCCCCTCTTGCAGATCGTGAACCTCATTGAGGAGACCGGCCACTTCAACGTCACCAACACCACCTTCGACTTCGACCTCTTCTCCCTGGACGAGAGCACCGTGCGCAAGCTGCAGAGCTACCTAGAGGCCGTGGCCACATGACCCTGGGTGGGAGCTGGGCCCTGCCCCCCGCCGGGGTCCTGGGAGGCCACGCAGGCCCCACCTGCCTCCCTTCTCTCCACGCACCGCCTACAGCACTGCCTTAGCGACCGCCCCGCCCGGCCCTCACAGCCAGCTGCACTTTCCTGGGTGGCTCCCGAGTGCCCTGGGCCGTCTGGTGGGCACCCGGGCACAGTCACCCGGGCACAGCCACCCGGGCGCCCCTTGGAGGGCGGTTTGTGCAGAAGGCAGAGCTGGGCCTGGTTCCCAGAAGAGAAAGTAGCTCACGCAGAACGGGCGTGGCTGAGGGCCCCCAGCTCCGCCTTGCAACTGCGGGCCTCTGAGCAGCCGGCCGTCCTGTGCGCGGCGCCCCCAAACGGTTCAGAAGGTGCCGGGGCTGCAGGCCCTCGGAGGCCCGTGAGGTCTGCGGCCGGCCAGGCCGGCCCGTCTGTACAGCTGTCTGTGTATTATATATATGTGCGCTGCGTGTGTTCCGGAGCGGGTCCCGTGTGCGTTTCTGTGCCGAGCTGCACGTGGGGGGTGGGGGGTGGGGGGGCTTGTAGGTTAAGATGTCTGTGGGGGTCTTGTCTCGGGCTGGCCCTCTCCAGGGCGCAAAGGGAGCCTCCCCCTGGTTCCAAGGATGCCAGGCTCCCAGGCCAGTGAACACTACAGCCGCTCCGGGGTGGCCTGTCCTCAGGGCCAGGGCCACACGTGTCAGCGCCTCGGGGCTCCTCCTCCATAGGACCCTCTTCCTTCACAGTCATCGATCAAGTCTTCGAACTTTGAACAAATGAGCTTTTGCCAAATAAGACGGGACAGTTTGTGTTGGGAGGCGCATGTGGGCCGCCTCCTCTCCAGCCGCGGCCTTCGCTTCCGCCAGGCCCAGCCTGGGACATTCTCCTGTCTGCCTGAGGTTCTCCAAGGGCCACGCCACTCAGCCTCACTGGGCCAGCAGCCCTGGTGCAGCGCGCCCGCCCCCGGTGGTCCCGGCCCCGGCCCTGTGCCTCCGGAACCCGTCCTGACTTCAGTCATTGCCAGTGTTGGTGCCCTGACCAAGGTGTGGCTGGGGGCAGTGGGGCCCCGGACGGCCCCGTGCCCTCTTCCCTCTCACTAGGTGCCCCTCTTTCCCGTTACGGGCTCAGAGGGAGGCCCTGGCCTCTTCCCTGAGTTCCCTGCTCCTGTCCCTGCCCTGAGTCCACCGGAACACTCCCCGGGGGACCCCTGCCTACAAGGCGTCGCCCACACCAGCATTGCTGGGGGCCCCCCACATTCTCGGGGAGAAGCCCGACAACTCCGCAGGGAGCTCCTGCAGCCCCTCTGGCCTCTGTGGCCACTCTGACTGCCCTCAGGCCCCGCTGCCACGTCCTCTTCCCAGGCAGGCCAGCAATACTCACGGCGGGTCCTTGTCACCGCCCCTCCGGGAACTCTCCAAGACATGGGACAGAAGGACCTGGCCCCCTGCTGTGGGGCCACATGCAGAAGCCTCAGCTCCAGGCAGTGGCCTTCCTCTTGCCTGAGGATCCTGAGAGCCCCACGGCGACCCGGGCTGGGCGCTTTGCCACCTTTGTGGTGGCATCTGGCCCTTCCCGCAGTATCCGGGACCTTCAGGAGCACCAACCCACTTCTCAGTTACCTCCTCTGGCCGGAAGGCCTCACCGCTGTCCTCCAGAGCCGCTCTGGGACCCGCCGTCTCCGTGACAGCCGAAGGAGACGGCTGCCCTGGTGAAGGGTGCACCAGGGCCCTGGCTGCAGCCTTCCCAGCGGCCCCACCCCACCCCCCCCGCCGGCGGTCATGGACAGCTGGGCCCGCGCGGGCTCTGGGGACATCTCCATAGGAAGGGGCCGGCGCCTTGTGATTGCCACATGTCCTGTGTTATGCCGCCTGTCCCCAGTGTAAACCCCGTGTTTCCTCTCCTGAATGAATTGTAAACTGACGCCAGAACACAAAAGGTATCGAATACCTTCCTTCCCCACAAGGGTTTTTAACCAAGAATGTGTCTCGCTAGGAACTGGACACTTAACCGGCCCAAGACCGACTCCTGGATCAAAGGACAAAGGAGACGTGTGTTTGTGATGAGTTGCAGGATTGTTTCTGTCCTGGATTTTAAACTTTTTGTTAAAATTGTGAAATTATGGAGGAGTTTTATAGAAAAAAAGTGAAATAAAGTCAGAATGGAAAGCAGACCTCTGCATCTGCACGGTGCCTCCCTGCTGTGTAACGGGAGGGGCGCGAGGGCTCTGCTTGCGTCCCAGGGCCTCCAGGTCAGCGCGGGAGGGGAAGGAGGCTGGTGTGAGGCTGGTGTGTGGCGGGGGCGGGGATGAGGTGGGTGCAGTTGGCGTCCTGGACGAAGAGGGCACCGCCAGAGACCCAGAGCAGGGCGGTGGCGGCAAGCAGCCGCGGGCCTGGGCCACGCCACGCTGGGCTCTGTCCTGGGAAGCAGGGGCAGGGTTGTGCTTGCAAAGCAGACTTGGCTTCCCTGGGTGAGTGGGTAGATGGGTGGTACAAAAGTGAATGGGCTTCATGGGTGCAGGGATACGTGGGTGGGTGAAGATGGATAGGAAAATAGATACCTTTGGCAGGAGCCCGGGTGCCTAGCTGCCCCTTTCCATGTATGTCTTGCTGTGGCCCTGGTGTGACAGAGCTGAGGGACCCTGGCGGAGCTCTTAGCGGCTCTGTTGAACCGGATCTGTGTACTCCAGGCTCCAGCTCCGCCCAGAGGCACAGATGCCACTCACGCGTGGCACACATTGCCAGCGTGCACCCGCTGGCCACCCTGAGTGCAGGGGCAGCTGCCAGTGGACACCCCTTGCTGCAGCAGGTGGCAGCTGGGGGTCTTCCCAGCCAGGCACAGCCTGACACCAGGTCCCTCAGGAGCTATTTCCGGTTCTCCTGAAGTTCCCTTCCACCCAGGGCCGTGGCTGCCAGAACCTCTGCCTTCCCTGCCAGAGAAAGCTGCAGCTTTTGTGCGGTTTGCACCCTACAGGAGGGCAATGGAGTCAGCAAGGGGCTGGCCTAAGACCGCGTGGTGCCTGGGCCCTCGGGTGGCGGTGGAAGGACTGTGTGTGAAGTCATAGTAGACTTCGCGTCCGGTCACTTGGCCGCTTGCGGTGGGTACTGCGTCAGAATCCCCATTTGTTGTTTGGTTTTGGTTTTTTGAGGTAGGGTCTCACTGTGTAGCCCAGGCTGGCCTGGAACTAGCGGCGATCCTCCTGCCTCGGCCTGTCAAGTGCTGGCACGACAGGCGTGCACCACCACGCCCGACTGCAGAATCCCTGTTCACAGGTGAGGAGAGAGCCTCACAGAGTAGACTTGCCTCAGGTAACGCTGCACGTGCATTGGTGCCACCAAGGCCAGCCGTGCATGGCGCTGACGCTCTTGCCCTCCTGTGCCCACCCGCCAGTCATTCCTGACCACAGGTGACATCTAGGAGAGCTTTATGTAAAGAAATGCCTGACCCGTCTTCAACGACTGTTGCAACCCCCTGGTAAGGTTTTAAAAAATTAGTCTGAATTCTTATATGTTGGTGCAGTACTTTATAAGCTGTCCTGTGCGCTTAGGTAACCTAGAGATAAGACGATAATTTATAGAGGAAAGAGGTTTCATTAGACATGGTTCTGGAGGCCGGAAGCCAAAGATTGGGTGGCAGCTGCTCGGCTTTTGCTGCGGACCTCGGGCTCCTCCATGCATGGCGGAGAAGCAGAACAGAGAAGAGACTGAACTTCCACAGCAGCTAACTTACTCCTGCACAGGAAGGGAGGGAGCGGGAGGGGAGGAAGGAAAGGGTTTACAAGGTTCCTTACAACCTGCACACCTCCGAGACCGCACACACCTCCCGGCTCTATCCCCTCGGCCATATCCAGTCTTCCAAAGTGCTCCCCAAAACTTTTCTCTTTTTTATCTTTTGTGGTAGAGGAGACTGAACCCAGGGCCTTTGTACTGAGCTCATCCCCAGCCCTTTTATTTTTCATTTTGAGACAGGCTCACTGAGTCACCAAGTTGCCCAACTGGCTTCAACTTGTCATCCTCCTGCCTCAGCCTCCCAGAATGCTGACAAAGCGTGCACCCCCACACCCCAGGTCATTCTGGAACCTCTGCTTATCTGAGCCTGGTCCTGACCGTCCTTTCTCTTGACGTGATCTGTTGGCTAAGAGACCAGGATCGTGTTCTGTAGGCTCAGGCCTTTAGAGGGCCCCACGTCTCCAGCTAGAAGCTGGGCTGCAGCTGCTGTGTTGTCACAAGCTGAAATGTTTTCCAGTGTCCTTGCTTGTGTCTCTTCTGTTGCCCTGGGCTTTCCTAGAGATTTCTATTAAAATAGGCCCTGAAATAGGCCTAGTGGTGCTCAGGGAGGCTGAGGCAGGAGAATCTCAAGTTCCAACCCAGCCTCGGCAATTTAGCAACTTGGTGAGACCCTGTCTCAGAAAATAAAGCCCGGGGATGCCGTTCAGCGCAAAGGCCTTAGGCTCCATCCCCGGTGCTGAAGTAAACAACTAAATAAACTGGCTCTCAGTCTTACAGCGCGGTCCGTCCATCAGTGCCTGGCCGTGACACAGGACAGAGGGAGCACACAACGGCCGAGGCCGGGTACTTTATAAAGAACAGGCACTCTCTTAGCCTTCACTGTGGGAGCTGCAGACCACACTCGGGCGGCCCCATCGACTCGGCTTGGCTGTGGTGAGGGCGGCCATGGCCACACCACGGCGGGGCTGTGTGCAGAGGCCCCGCGATGAAGCGCTCCAGGCCAGGCCTGCTTGATGCCCACCCCTCCATCCTGTGAGGGTGGGGGCCCCACAGCGCTCGGCACCTGGGGACCAGCCCCCAGCACGGGAGCCGTGGGGACAGGCGTGCAGACCACTGTGCGTGGACCAGGGTCCACCCCGCGTCATGCTGGCGCCACAGGGTCGGAGCCCGCCACCTTCTCCGAGCCCCTCCTCTGAACAGTGCCGCTTTGGGACGAGGCCTTCAAGAGTGGGTCCGTGGGGACCCTTCCCCTCTCCCTGCAGCACAGCACTGGGGGCAGGCCGCAGGTGGTCACGCCCGCCCCACCCGCTGCAGGTCAGGCTCCGTCCTCAGGGTGGAGCTGGGAGCCTCACGGGCGTGATGAGGTCACTGGGGAGGAAGTGATGTCATCTCCAAGGGGCCCTGGTGCGCTGTGCACTCCAGAATGCAAACACTGCTTTTAGAGAGACCCTTTGTGCTTCCCATCCTGTCTGAGTTCTTCCTGTCACACGGGCTTGCGCCGTGGTGTCTCCGCCTCAAGACGCAGCCGCACCAGCACCAGTGCCAGCACCATGCTCTGAGGGTGTCAGTCTCCAGCACTGTCAGCTAAATAAACCTTTCTCTCCTTTCTCTCCGTCTCTCTCTTTCTCTCACTGGGGATTGAACCCCGGGAGCCCCAAGGTACATCTCTCCAGCACTTTGGAGACGAGGTCTTGCTAAGTTGCCCAGGCTGGCCTCAAACTTGACATCCTCCTGCCTCAGCCTCCTGAATAGCAGGGATCACAAGCGTGCTCCCCTGTGCCTGGCTGTGAGTTCCTTTCTGTGTCTCTGCCATGCGCTGGGTGCTGAGCAGGGTTTAATAGGCTCCATCTGAACCCTGAATCTCCTCAGTGATTCTGACGCATGCAGCACATGAACCCTGAGCCCGGCTCCCCATCCCGGGGGCTGATCTCGGTGCCCTGCTCGGTCCTCCGTGCGCCGGGGAAGGCGCCGAGCTAGGGGGCGCTCCTGTGCCATCCAGGGCGGGCTGCCGAGCGCCGCTCCTTGTCCCGCAAACGTGCGCGTGGATTCCTCCAGGTGAGAAGAGAAGCAGGGCTCGGTCTCCGGGGCCTCAAGGGCCGGGGGTCGCTGTAATTCAGGGTCCCCTCTCAGTGCTGCCGGCAAGAGGCCGGGCGGTCTCCGTGGGGCATCCTGGGCACCGCAGGGTGCTGAGCAGCGCCCCTGGCTCCCTCCCTCTCCACGCCAGCAGCACCCTGAGCCCTGAAGCCAGAGGTGTCCCCAACCTCCCACAGGGTCCCAAGAGCAGGACGGCTCCAGGGCTGAGAAGCCCAAGTCAGTGAACCAGTTTTATTGTTCTTTCCAACCTGAAGGCAGAGCCCGGAGAGGGGCTCGGTCCTCACAGGGCCACCCTCCCTCTAGGAACACATCCCTTAATGTCACAGGCAGAGGCAGAAGACAGGCAGAAGAGGAATCTGGACCTCCTAAGGGCGTTGTGTGAGCGTTGGAGCTGCCTGGGGCCTTTCCTGGCCACTAAAGCCCCTCCCTGTCCTTGTAGAAGTTCTCGATTTCGGCTTGGTATAGCTTGGTCACAGTCGTCCTCTTCAGTCTCGATGTGACTCCTGGGTGTGACAGAGGGTCCTCGGTGGGGCCACGGGAAAGCCTGGTCCTCAGAGGGCCGAGCCCGTGTCAGGGGTGCAGAGGGCCAGAGCCTGTGCCACAGCACCCCAACAGTTCCCACCCTCCACAGCCACCACTGCAGGGAACAGCAGCCCTCACTGCAAGGCAGTGGACAAAAAGCATAGGTGCTGGGTATGGCGGTGCTCGCCTGTCATCCCAGTACTTAGGAGGCTGAGGCAGGAGGATCTTCGTGAGTTTGAGGCCAGCCTGGGCTCCCTAGTGAGACCCCATCTCAAAAATAAAACAAACAAAAAAGCACAGGTCACAGGAGTGGGTCCCCACCCTGGAGGTTGGGGTTCTAGACTCCTTTGACACTAGCACGTAGGGACCTCGTACCCCTAAAATCCAAGGATGGGGTCTGGACGGGGTGCCACAGGAGGCAGCTCATCTTCCAGGAGGGAGGAAAGAGCTGAGGGGTCCCCCCTGCGACCTGTGTGCAGCAGGCCCGGGTGTGTTCTGTGAACGACCCTGAGCTGGGAGCAGCTGGACGGCCAGGGCCCCTGCCGCTCACCGAGCTCCCCGCCGCCCATTGAGAAGTCTGTGTCCAGCACGGCCCACTTGACAACCCTGGCGCTCTCGGACGGCGCCTCGGCGTTCACGGCCTCCATGCCTTTGCTGATGAACTCGGCGACGACGGGGTCGTTGTTGTGGATGACGTCCGCCAGCCTGGTGGCCCGGCTCCCCAGGCCCCGGCACAGCGCCACGGTCTCGCTGGTCAGTGCTGTGCAGGGCTCCCCCGTCTCCCAGTTCACCTGGCACTGCGGAGGGCCAGGGTCAGAGCAGCCCCCCACGAGGGCACCCCAGAGCCTGCAGCCCCCTCGCAGTCACCCCGAATCTCCGAGCCTGTGTCCTCCTCGCTCGCGAGGACGGCGGCTCCCATCCCGCCCCCGAAGTCCCGACGGCCACGGCCCCGGGCAGCCCGAGCACCTTGAGCGTGAGGAGGGCGCACAGGTAGGGCGCGTCCTGGCCCACCACCACGGCGTAGTGGACGATGGGGATGTACGCCTTCACGCGCTCCTCGATGGGGCTCGGGTTGACCGTCTTCCCGGAGCACAGCGTGATGAGGTCTGCATGCAGGGGGGAGAAGCTGCAAACCGCCGCTCCCGGGGCCCGGGTGGGGCGGGCGGCGGGCGCCGTCACAGCAGCCCCTCCGCCCAGGTGGGGCTCCTCTCTATGAAGGGGTCCCCTCCGCCTCGTCGGACCTCAGCCCTTTCTTGGTCTTGTGCTGTGTTCAACCCGCACCGCTGTCCATGGCAGCGCTGTGGGCGTCCGCCCGATTCTGCTCACCCGTGTCCTTGCCCCTGATGTAGAGGAAGTCGTCCACATCCAAGAAGCCCAGGTCGCCCGTGTGCAGCCAGCCGTCGCCGTCCGTCTTCCTCTCCGTGCCCGCGTTGTCGCCGAGGTACCCCATGAAGAGGTTCCGGCCCCAGATGCTGATGGGCCCCGTGCCCTCCTCGTCCTCCTCCTTCACCTTGGTGCGGGTGCCGGAGAGCCCCTTCCCACAGCTGCGGGCGGGAGGGGCCTTTAGACCCGGCCGGGCGCTCCTTCACGGGGGTGGGGACTCCCCGACACCGAGTTTACCCTTTGCCTCTTCCCTACAAGGCCACCCGTGACCTAAGCACTCCTGGCTTCCTCTTGGCTCCCACAGGACAGGGCCACAGGTGACAAGAGCAGCGCCTGGCTGGGCTGGATCGGAGCCGAGCACAGGGCAGACAAGGACGCAGCACACCAGCCCTTGGCCGCCTAGGCACACACGCCAGCCGGGCACAGGGTGACCCAGGGGAGCCAGGACAGCTTTTGGGAGAACAGGCTGCTGTCGGAAGACTCCAGGCAGGGGGCAAAAGGAGGGGACAGGATGTGGGCAGGGGCCTGGCTTGTGTCCCGGGACACCAGAGGGTCAGCCCTCCAGCATGTCCGCTGAGGCCAGGTCTCCACCAGGACACCCAGGCCCCCCACACCAGCCCCGCTCTCTCCCAAGCTGTCTGGATCCGGGGCTGGAGGGAGCGGGGTTAAACGGCCTGAGTCAGCTGCGGTGGCGCACACCTGTCATCCCAGCACTCCGGGAGGCTGAGGCAGGAGTAGCAGTGTAAGTTGGACCATGGCCTGGGCAACTTAGCAACTTAGTGAGACCCTCTCTCAAAATTAGAAAGGCTGGAGATGGAGCTCAGTGCGAAGGCCCGAGACTCAATCTCCAGCACAGAAAAAGCAGAAACAGGGGCTGGGGATTTAGCTCAGCGGCAAAAGCGCCTGCCTGGCAAGCGCAAGGTCGTGAGTTCGGTTCCCAGTACCGGAAAAAAAAACAAAAAAAAAGAAAAAGCAGAAACAAAGTGTGGCCCCAGCCAACACCCAAGATGCATGGCGCTGTGCCCTGTGCAAAGATTCATGAAGTGAGTCTTTAATGGGACAGTACATGGGGGCTGGGGGTCAGACGAGGTCAGGAGGGTGAGGCCCCTGTGATGAGATTAGTGCCCTTACTACAGAGCTCAGAGAACTCTGGCTATCGCTCTGCAGCAAATGAGGACCCAGTGAAGAGGCTGCCGCTTCCGAGCCCGTAGGACAGCAATGAGTAATTAGGGCCAAGAGTCTGAGGTACAGCAGGGAGGCGACTGGAGGTCACAGACAGCCTGGTCAAGGTCAAACCACAGGTGCTCCCATAGGCTTGTATGAACAACTGAGGTCAGACCTCCCCGCCCTAATGAGCCAGTTTGCAAATTAGCCTCCAAGAGTGGGCTTGCAAATTAGGATTTCTGCCCAGCCAGTGAGCTGCGTGGAAATTCCTAATCGAAACCTCTCCTTGCCAGGCACAATGGCCCATACCTGACATACTGGCCCTTTGGGAGGCTGAGGCAGGAAGATCTTGAGTTTGAGCCAGCCTGGGCAATGAAGTGACTTAGTGAAACCCTGTCTTAGAATGAAAAGGCCTGGAGGAGTAGCTCAGTGGTAGAGTGTTTGCCTAGCTTGCACGAGGCCCTGGCTTCGGTTACAGTATTTGTACCTAGAGACAGTAGGACACCTCTCCTGCACTGGCCTTCTGGGACATAGATGGTGCTAATGGTGCCTCCCATATCCACAGCCTTGTTTAGCCCCTGCCCCTGCCCTGAACAGGGCAAACCTTCATGATTCCTCACGTGGCAGAAACGACCAAGTGCCACTTCTGACCTTATATCCTAACAGTCATCAGATCAAGTAAGTCACCCGATTAAATTAGAACGTTAGGCTGGGCATGGTGGTGCATGCCTATCATCCCAGTACTCTGGGAGGCTGAGGCAGGAGGGTTGCAAGTCTGAGCCCAGCCTGGGCAAGTTAGAGATTTAGCAAGACTCTGTCTCTGAAAAATAAAAAGGGCTGCAGATGCAGTTCATGTGAAGGCCCTGGGTTCCATCCCTAGTACCATTAAAAAAAAGAGAGAAATAAAAATGTCTATTGTCCTACACTCTTAGTTGCAGATCCCTTGCACAAAGCAGCAGATAGCTGGGTGTGGTGGCACACACCAATAATCCCAGCACTTGGGAGGCTGAGGCAAGAGGATCACCACAAGTTTGAGGCCGGCCTGGGCTACATAGTGAGTCCAAGGCCAGCCTGAACTGCCTAGCCAGACCCTATTTCAAAAAACAAAAAAGCAGCAGATAAATTTGTGGTGTTTTATTTTTCAGGGAGGGATTTTGAGACAGGATTTTGTGATGCAGCTCAGGCTGACCTCAAACTCATGACGATCCTCCTGCCTCGGCCTCCTGAGTGCTTGGGTTACAGGTGCGCATCATTACGCCCACCTAACAGCAGATAGATTAATACAGCGGTTCTCACAAGAAACACCAGGGCATTGAAATAATTCTCCTTCAGTGAAATCACAAACCCAAACCCTCCTCCACAAAGGCTTCCCACAGAGGTGCCCTGTCACGTGCTCTGGGCCAGGTGTCCCTGCGTGGGGGGCGGCCAGGTAGGGTGACAGTCACACCCAGGACCGTGCAGAGGAGGACGGAGGGTCCCAGGGTGCCCATCTGTGCCCCCCGCGGGCCAGGCCTACCTCAGCAGCCGGAAGTCCCGGCGCGTGGAGAGCGCGTGGAGGCCTGTGCACTCCGACAGGCCGTAGAGCTCGTAGATGGGGATGTCGAGGCTGAGGAAGAAGTCCAGGGTGGGCCTGGACAGCCCCGTGCCCACGTTGAAGAACTGCTCGCAGTGGCTCAGGCCCAGCAGCTTGCGCGCCCGGGTGAAGGTGAGCTTCTTGGCCAGGCGGAAGCTCATGGAGGAATGCAGGTCCCTGGGGAAGCAGAGGCGGCGGCGGCGTGGTCACGTGGCCTGGGGCTCCGCGCCGCGCCCCGCGGGCCCCGGTCCCAGCCTCACCCGAACATGCGCTTCGTGTTGGTGCTCAGCCCCACGTCCATGGCCCACGAGTCGACGCGCCTGCGCAGCGCCGTGGACGCCAGCTGGCTGGTCCTGAGGCCGTCCATCATCTGGTCCCACAGCCACGGGGTGCCCGGGAAGGTGGTGGGCCGCACCTCCCGCAGCAGCTCCGTCAGGTAGCCCTGCAGGCCGGACACTGTCCACTCCAGGGCCGCACGTCCGGGACTCTGCACCCAGGGGCCGCGCCAGGAGCGGGTCAGGGGACGCGGGGCCGGGTTGTGGGGGCCAGCGGGGCACCGCGGGGTCCCCTAGCCACCCCCACGGGGCGGCCAAGCAATAGCCAGCTCAGGGGTCCATGCCCAGCCTGTCCCCCAACTCGGGATCAGGAGAGCAGGGAAGATAAAGGGATGGGGAAGGGAGACAAGCAGACGAAAGGAAGCAAAGGAAAGGGGAGAGGGGCGGAAGTACGGGAGAGAAAGAGGAGGAGGAAGAGAGGAGGGGGAGGAAGGCCAGAGCCAAGCACAAGCAGCAGGAGCGGGAGGGAGTCAGCCTGGCCGTGTGGCTGCGTCCCGGTCTGCCGTTACCAGAAAGGACGCTGCAGTGATCCCAGCCAAAATACCAGTGTGAGTGCGGAGCCCTGCCCTGCCCTGCCCTGCCTGTGCCCCAGGGCCCTGCTGCCGGGGGCTTGTGCGCGGGTTTTTAACAAACTAAGGTGTGGTGTGCAAGGAGATGGCGGCGCTAACTGCCCTGACTTCTCATGACACATTATATATGCGGATCCAACCGTCACCTCATACGCCATCAGTGTGCTCTGTACCAATTGAAACGTAGAAGATTTGAATTAAATGCCAAAAAAGCCCAAGTGTGGTGAGCACAGATCTATAATCCCAGCACTGGGGAGCCTGGGGCAGAAGGATCATTGCGAGTTTGAGGCCAGCCT